CTAGCCACTGAGCATTGCCGTTATGGGTTGCGTCCTTCTCCCATATGCTCTTCCAGTATTGCTTATTGTTCCCTTGCCACTGAGAGTACACCTTTGCTGGTTCTGTGGAGAACAGCTGGTTTATTCTCCTGCCTTCTATCTCTCTGGTGTACCTCCTCAAGCGGCTGGCCAAGGCTGTGAGTCTTTGCTTGGCAGTTTCCAAGGCCTCAGGTATGGACAGCTTGCTGTATTTCTTAGGCACCTTATTTGTCGCACCTTTCTGCACCTCCGTTAGTTGGCTACTTTGATCTTGCCCTCTAGCCTCCTTCTCCATAGAGGGTACTGCCCCTTGTCGCTGTTCAACTTGTAGCCAAGCATCTCACTGATGCCGTATTGTAGATCAGCTTGTTAGTGTCGGTAATTGTGGTTGTAGGTATTGCCCGTAGTGCTGCATTAACATCATCTAGCAGACCTTCTGAGGGCAAATAGGATTGTTTCAGGAAAGGTGAACAGGTGAGACACCGAAAGATGCAAGAAATAGTGTTTAAAAAAAAAACATGAAATCTTGACAAAGAATGTGCGATTCCCGTCACATCCTCCTAGCTGTTTGTTGATGTGACTTGTTGCTTTTCCATCCATCCATTTTCAGCTGCTCTGATGCTGGTCCATCTGAGCACCAGTCTAAGCAGAGGCACCCAGACCTCCCTCTCCTTTGCCACCACCACTGGTGGGCGGGGTGACACCGAGGTGTGCCCAGGGCCTAAGAGGTACCCAGGTGATATCCTAATTAGTTGCCCGAACCACCTCAACTGAAATGTTCTACTCTGAGCTCCTTTCCTTATCCACATGACCAACCACCACTATCCCATTTACACTGCGATCTCATTCTTTTGGTCACTACCCAGAGCTTATGATGATATAGGTGAGGGTAGGAACGCACATCATCTAGAAAATCAACAGCCTCACTCAGCTCTCTCTTCGCCACAATTGACCAGTACAGTGTCTGCATCAGTACTGATGGAAACACCAATTCATCTGTCAACCTCCTGCTCCACTTCCGTGCTGCTGTTCTAAAGTGCTTCATCTTCTGGAAATAAAACAAAACAAAGATAAATAAATAAAATCCTGGAATATTAGTTGGGAGAATGAGGGTTGGGTGGAGATTGTTTTATTTACCAATTTACAGTCTTTTTAATGTCTGTTGAAAGTTTAGCTCTTCTTTCTTAACCTTTCTTCATATTGAAAATATAAAACCATCTGCAGTCATTCTTCCTTCCACTGCAGGTCATCTTCATGTATTTAAAAAAGGCAGCAGGCAGAGCAATTTTATATTTCTCTTCCTCTCCATCAAATTCAGCTCGGTACGATTTCTGCATTTGGCATGAAAGCAAAGAGTTTCTAAAGGATGACGTTAAAAGGTCAACGTTTCAGCTACTCTTAGTCTATCTGTCTTCTTCTTTAGACAGGCAGTATTGTGACTGTTTGTAAAGAAGCTGTCAAAACCATATGTCACGTTTTCTGTACTTCAAGAAGGTTTTCTATTCAAACCAAAGGGCTTCTGCTTTTATCCTCAAGAATGATCACCTAGCATTAAAACATGACGTTAAGGGATTGTGTATAAATAGCATCGTTTGTGTTTAATGTCTTTGTGTTTTAGGCTTTTTGAACGTGAAAAGGTTAGGATTGGGGATAAGGTCAGGGTTAGGGCATCTCATGGTGTGAAATGCCAACCTCATTCAGGGCATCAAATACTGCTTTTGAGTGTTAGTAATGGCATAAATCTAGTGCATCAGGGGACCGACAGAAACCTTGTGAGGAGTTGATGCCATATCTGCAGTGTTTAATGCTATGAAAGGGTGTATTTTAACCCAAACTACACTGTCATCCCAAACCTAGCAAACTAACAAAGTTTATGGTGTTTTAGAGCCTAAACCAAAGAAAAAGTAAATTAACAAGGATTCTGATTCTGAATGGATTGTTAACTCTTGGTTGAGTGGGAAATCTCGGAACTCAGAAATTCCAACTTCCTAGTTATTCAGGAAAGCGAAACCTACAAAGGACGAGCAGAAGACAGGACTCTCTTTACTCACACATACACAATGAAGGGCAATCAGGGAAATGAGACATGGGAGCACACAACAGACACAATCCAAGAAGAGAAAGTAAAACTGAATACAAAGCACACGAGCCAAATTAGTACCAAAACAAAACAGGAAATAACTAATGCAAAGGTTAGATATATACCTACACACAGTAGCTTTACACTAAAGAAATGGAAATTCAAAAACTCAAATCATTAACATAAGTCAGAGAGAAACACTCTAAATAATCACAAAAATACCACAGCCCCAAGACCATGACACCATAACAGAATTAAGTGTTCTCATAGAATAATCCATGATATCAGTTGGGTAAAATAGTATTTCATACTTGTAATGCTCTGGTTTGTCAAAATGTTGCAATTAATTGTACTTATTATACAAACAAAACAGCCCAGGCCACCTACACAGACAGTCATACTAATAATATAAAATATCTCACATTTTAGGTTAGATTTTTTTAAAGGCCTTTAAATTTTGTATGAAGAGCATTAAAACGTAACAACGAAAAAAACAAAAACAAAGCCTTCTCTCTTCAGGGAGACCATTATCCCAGCCCATTTCAATGAATAATGGTACTTACACTTAACTATGCATTTACAGATCATTGACATGATTACAATCAATGACAGACTGAATTTTAACAGCCAAAATGTTTCAGCAGTCTTTTTTAGCAAATTGCAGATTGTTCTGCAAAAAATGTGACACATCTTAACCTAACCAAATGTCAGGTTATAATGCGCTTTTATTTGCTTGTTACATTTTAAGTATAAAGAACTATTCTTTGAGAAACATTGTTGTGAGTATGAGCAAATATTTGTAAAGTTTATCTCTTTATAGTCATATATTTATAGCCATATGTGCAAGCAATTGTCCAAATGAGATCTTAACAATGAGATTTTCACATTTCATTGTTTGTGCATCTCCTGGCAGCCGGTTTTGAACACTGTCTGATCTTGCTCATTAAATGGATTGCTAGAGTTGTTGTTTTGTCTATTTCCTGAACTGAGATTACCTTCACTCATGTTTGCAGATATTTGTCCTACATAGGTAAAACATCACAGCCCTGCATCTCATCAGTCTGATTCGTTGCTCCTGTGGTTAAATGTTCTGTCTGTAATTTCTGCATTTAAAATGGCAAAATCCCACAGGCAGAAAACTGAAGCAGAGAACAGATTTTTTTTTTCTTCTTTTTGAAGATTTGTGAAGTAGACACAGTGAGTGAACAGTAAAACTTCCCTATCCCCAAACTTTCTTTTGGTACCTCTGCAAGAAAAAAAACAAAACAGCTGTTGTATAAACTGCTTATTGTGTGCAGAATTGCACTGGGTTGGAGTGTATCCCGGCTACCAGCATGGAGCATGGGCAGGAGGGAAGGTAAACTCAGTAGGTCGCCAGTCTTTGTGTTACATGCCAGTTCTTGATTCAAGGAGAACCAAACTGCAGAGACAGAACTACACAGACAGGCTGAACAAACAAAAAAGGGAAACTAACTGGAAATGGTGAAAGGTAGCAGATGCAAATCTGATGGCTGCTGATTCTACCAAAGAGTAATTCAGATAAAAATAAAAGAGGACATGCAGGAAGGTCAGCAGTTGAACTGACAAAGGACAGATGGGAGCAACAGGATGTTACTGTCTGAGTGGGTGAAGGGCAGGTCGAATCAATTAGGACTGAGCACACAATCACAGGAGCTGGAAAACAAAGACTACAAAGATGCACAATGAGGGTGATAACCAAACAAAACAAGAAGTGACAGAAAAAGAAAAATCACAAGACTGGTACACACACATTCACACATTTACTCACACAGATACAGAGAAGATGTAACACCAATGGATGGACCAAGGAAAAACTAAGAGCACTGAAATGTTGTTACTGGTAATACACACAGCACAACTCTTTCACACTTAAGAAATACATTGAGAGAGTTCGTTGTCTATGCATTGTGGACATGTGTCCCTATTTAAATGATCAATGCTACTATAGTATTTATTTTAATCCTGAACAAACATTTGCAGTACAAAACAAAGGACAGTGCTGTGCTGAAAAACTAAATGCTCAAGCATATGCATCAGCTTCTTACACAAAGCACGGTGATGAAGGATTTTGTTGTTGAGCTTGATCGATGTGAAGGTAAAGTGTGAAAAGAATGAAAATAATTACAGCATGTACGGCTTGTTGCAGTGTTCAAATGACATTAAAATATTGTATTTAGAAAACTGAAAATATGAGAGTCTTTCCTTCCTTGGTATTGATAAAAAAAAATTACGACTTTTTGGTAGCAAAAAGTGGTCGATTGGTTTTAAAAGACTAAAAGTGATAAAGAATCTACTGAAGCACAGTGGTCCTTTACCTCAAATCATCTCTACCTTCCTCTCTTTGCAGAGCACCTAAAGGTGGCACTGGAGGAGTACATGAAACGGATGCCTAAGGTTCGAATCTTGAGGACGAAGAAGAGAGAGGGGCTGATCAGAACTCGTCTTCTTGGAGCCGCTGCTGCCAAGGCAGAAGTCATCACCTTCCTGGACTCACACTGCGAAGCTAATGTCAACTGGCTGCCTCCACTGCTGGGTGAGAAACACGCTTGCACACATCCATCCAGCAATCATGAGGTGCTGATGACATATCTCCCATCCAAAAATCGGTACGAGGTCTTATACCAATATTTGCAAGCCAGATAGGGTGTTATTTCCACACCCAATAGCAATTCAGTCTGACGGCTTCCTTCAAAGTACGACATCAGACCACATTGTTGTAATAAAAATAGCAAATGCATGTGATTGTGATCACGTAGTTATGATAGAGCTGCCATGATATAGGGTTCTAAGGATAAACATTACGTTTAAAAATGAGTTCATGTATACATAAAATGTGTACATCACAAACACTGCAGTGCGTATGTAGAGTTTCAGACTCACTTAATAGTTTATCCAGGTTTGTTCCCGTTCACATTTCCAGTGACTAATATTCTGCTGCCTCAGCTACTTTCTTTATGGTTGACTAAAGTAAGGTGACTACAAATGAGGCCATTCACTTTTCTGTTGGCACATTTTTTTCAAGATACTGAGACTCATCTCCCACAGCAGTGCCACTGAAAAGTGAGACACCACACAGGTGCAGTTTGAGAAATAAATTCATAGTTTAATCACCAAGTTTTTGTCCGTTCTTGCTGTCTCTCATTCACTGTTAAACTGCACTACTGGGTCCTCGCCGTGACTCAGAGCGGTGTCCACAGTTTGTAGCCTAATGATATTTTGTGTACAAGCTAACTACAGCATATATCATTATAGTAATGGTGTTTACTTTATATATCAGTTCTATCCACCAGCTTCTTGCACACTCCCAGTTCACATTGCCCTCTTGAACCATTAAAATATCAAAAATAAAAGGATGAATTTCCACATTTTCTACACAGATGTATTATTATAAATTATTTTGGCCACAATAATAACATTTACTGCATTAAACAAAAAGAACATGTTTACAGACGTTCTGGTAAACAACTTAAAGCCAGTCCAGGCAACATATTAGAGTCATTCAGCATTTGAATATTGGCTGAATGTTTTAAATGTAGCACTGTGATTTTCATGTAATAAACAAACAAATTAAATAAACAAAAACGTCCTGAAATTTCTGTTTTCCAAAACATTTCACTTTAAAAAATTGCTCAAAATATCACTTAATTTCCAAAAGAACATTTCAACCTTTTTGACAGTTTAATTTTCAAATATTTTTAAATTACTTTACTTTCACAAATATTCAAATTTTCTTAAAAAATAACTTTTTGTTTTAAAAATGCCTCACTTTTGCAACAAAAAGGACACATCTATAAATGTCAAAATCTGACAAATGTCAATTTCCAAATTTCATCGCTCTCGGAAAAATGTATCACTCCCAAGGTCACGGAGCACAGGAATGTACAAAGTCACGTTATTGCTGCAAAATTGCTTTCACTAAGAGAGAGCCAATCATTCTCAAACACAGAAATATATGCACACACACACACATGCACTCACACTATCCCTGCTGCGAGACTGAGTGCTTCCTCTTCTGGCTGATGGACTTGCTCACTACCTCATTCTCACTTTATCAATTACCTTTTTCCATTAAGGACCCATGTTCAACTCGGTTTCCCAGCATGGCGCCATTCCCAGTTGGAACCATTTCACAGCAATCCTTATGACCCATGTTACCTCTCTGTCAAGCTGTTTACACATCAAGCGGGAATAGGACGTGTGTCTGCCAGTGCGTAACATAAACAAGCAGCCATGTTCATTACAGCCCACTGTGGCACTTTGATTGTTGTCAGGAGTGAAAGAGTTAGGACTGGAGCCTATGTGGAAAAGTGAACATACTGTAGTTGCACTGCAGGTTTGCATTAGGTGCAGCAGTATCATAACTTTGAATTGGCAATTATGAATACAAATATTGATATGATACATGCTTTTTCATCTGAAAGAGGAGCGGAAACTATAAATATTTTCTGTATTTTAATAATTGTTGAATCCAAATATAAAGTTACCGTATATTGTTTGCTGTAAAAAATTCAAACTCGGGTATAAAGCTGCATTTTTAAAAACTACATCTGTGGTGGACAATTTTCCTATCCCCTTCTGGATCATCAAAGACCTTAACTTATGGAGTGCTGTTGCCAAGAATCCGTTCACAGCTGTATCCAAATGTAAATGTTATGTGGAAGTCAGTAAAAGGAAGAAAACATACACTCACTCACACTCATATGGCAGCAACTCCGTGCATTAGGCACGTAGACATGGACAAGAAGACCTGTTGAAGTTCAAACTAAGCATCAGAATGGAAAAGAAAGTTAATCTAAGTGACTTGGTGTGGTTGTTGATGTCAGACAAGCTGAGGATTCACTATTGTCTATAGAGAACATACCAGGGTATGCAGAAAAGCATCTCTATTCTATTCTGTTCAATTCAGTTTTATTTATGCAGTGCCAAATCACAACAACAAACCTTAAGGCGCTTTATATTGTAAGGTAGACCGTACAATAACACATGCATCTCTGAATGCATGACGTGTCAAACCTTGAAATGGGCTACAGCAGCAGAAGACTGCACCAGGCACCCTTCCTCTAAGCCAAGAACAGGAAACAGAGGCTACAGTCCACAATGTGGACAATGTGGACTCCACATGGGCTCACCCAAACTGGATATCAGGACTGGAAAAATATCACCTACTCTGATAAGTGACTGCACCTCACCTGAATATTGTTGCTGATTATTTTCTATACCTTTATGAAAACATTGTACTCATCTTCTGCTGGCTCCTTCCAGCAAGATAACACACCATGTCACAAAGCTCAAATCATCTCAGATTGGTTTCTTGAACATAACAGTGTTCAAAATTCACTCTACTACTATGCTATGAAGAATTAAGATGGTTGTGAAAGCAAAGGGAGGTCCAAGGCAGTAAAGTAGCCGCTGAGTTTAGATACAAACAAAGGAGAGAAAAAGGGGATAGAGAGGTTATGACCAAAGGATGAATCTCTAAACAAAAACTAAATATTATAACACAAACAGAGGACCAAACAGAACAAGGGTTAACCAAGACTGAGTTTCATTTATTATTGTCCATATCACAACATACAGCAAACAAACACGTAACTTGTCTTATTTTTTTTTTTTTTTATTTAACTCACATTATTCAAATGGCTCTCTATGTGCATCTCACAGATCGAATTGCCCAGAACAGAAGGGCTATTGTATGTCCAATGATCGACGTCATCGACCATGACAACTTTGGCTATGACACGCAGGCAGGGGACGCCATGCGAGGGGCGTTTGACTGGGAAATGTACTACAAACGGATTCCAATCCCTCCAGAGTTGCAGAGGGATGACCCCAGTGAACCCTTTGAGTGAGTAACGCAAGTTTAAAAGTAGTGCACTTTAAATCTAATCAGTGACTTAAAGCAAACCATCCACGGCATACCTATTTCATTTAAATATGCATTTAGATTTTGAAGGATTTTATTTAAATGACCTAAATGATGAATGATAAAATGACAGTAATTGAAGTCCACTCCTCTAGAATGCTTTATTGTGTCATTATCCAGGCTGAGCTGTTGAAAGTCTCTTTCTAATAAAGGCGTATGTCGTACTTTGTCTTGTGAGTAAAGACGATGTTGGTTTGTGAGGCTTATTTTTTCCCTACTCTGGTGTAAGTGAGTTGCCAGGATCACACATTCAATGGGCTGCCCAGACAGAAAGTAGACATGATATGGGGAGTGAATGTCTTTATAGAAATGATAATATTTTAGCAGGATGCCTCCCATCACCAAATTGATACTAGTTTACTATATTGATAAGGATGTTGATACTTCCATTAAGAAGATGACTTTTGTTTGCTTTGTTTACAATTTTCATTTTCAAAATATTGTACTTCAAACAGTTACGTAAGATGCATTCACTCCTACTCCAGTAATGTTACTGCTGGATTTTTAAAAAGAATGGCGGAATCAGGCATATATATGGGATGTTTTTTAAGGTGGAGATCAGCTCTTATTTTTTTGTCTGCTTGAACATAAGCAGACTGTATTGATTACAGTAAAATATTTTTAACAAGGAATACTTTGGCCTACTAGCTCTTTGCTAAATTATGCTAGCTTAGCACAGGGCTAAGTTTATCAGATAAGCCAGTTTATGCAGAATATGAAAGTAACACAAATTACATCAAAGTTCTGTAATGCAAACTACTCCTACCTATCAACACATTCATTTTTGTAGTGAAAAACATTTTTAACACTGTAGAATGTAAATTGATTCCACTTTTGTTTTTGCTTTAACTAAAACTGGTCCGTGTATTTAGCCATGCTGATGAACAGTCTCTCCGCCTCTAGAGGTGGCCTTACGCTGTCTTTTTATGTATTTTCTATGCTTGAGGTATCTGTGTGGGGTTCTGAGTCATCCAGTCATTGTAGTTCTAAGCACTTAATTTGAACGCAACCTGGAGCTAAAATAGAGGTTTGAATGTTAAGTAGATAGAGCTACGATGCCTGAGAACCTCCATCAGCTTGTAAAACTAAAACCTTTCACACGAGAGGTGGAAAAAACATCTTCATATTCATTCATCCATCCATCATTTATCCAGTTGGCTCACTTTAAATATTGACAACACTTTTTCCCTTCTGTATTTAGTAATGATGTACAGACATTTTTGTCTCTTACATTTATGTTCCCAAAATCCGTGCTCTCACACATCAGATGCTGCACTGGAAGTCAAACCCTCCCAAGAAGACACTTCACTGGTGCACTGCAGTGCTCATCTAACTATACAGAATATAGCAACAGATGAACTGAACCGTATGCTTAGTGGTTCTCTTATGTACGATCACACTGTTATAGAACAGCGCTTCACGAGTGAGAACATCTAGAGACAGGTGCCAGATGCCCATTTGTGATGTTTTTCCCTTATGAATATGTATAATCTGTGTTTTGTAGGTTTGGGACACTTTAACAACCACAGGAAACAATTTTTGAGGCTTTATGTTTTCGACTTGTCTGTCCCCTTCTCAGGAAGTCCTCAAGGGAGCTTCTGCAAGTTTGGCTCAAAGTTTCACTTGGACACAAGAATGAAGTGATTAGATGAACTAGAAGGATAACTAATAACCATTAGAATAACTCTGCTTAAATGTCAAAAAGTCAAGGTCATTGTGACCTCACAAAATACCGTTTTAGATGTTAAATGTAACATGTTACACACATGCACAGACATGCATGTAAAATGCAATTTGACTGGTTGGTATGCAGCAGCTTTTGGTAATTCTGCTTTTATGACTGAAGCAAAACAAAAAAAATCCACTGGTTTCCCCTGCTGTATGTTGCCAATGTGTCCAAATGTGACAGTGTGAGAAAGAAAGATGTGTTTCTGAGGATAATTGTGACACGACAAAGTGCTGAGCTTTCTTAATTAAGACAGAAGCTGAAATTAGACTGGCTCCTTTGCTTCACTTTGTCTCAGCTGTAATTAAGTCCTTACCCCCACATTTTTCCACACTGACTATGCTCATATTTACATTGATGTGGATTTAGACCAATGGTTTGGAGCAACACTTTTTTTTTCAGGCAGTGTTGTGTAATTTGAGTTTTTTTCCTTCTTGCCCTGTCGGATCAAACAGAATCTCTTAAATCTTGATTGATGTAGGCGTAAATAACTGTGTAAAACACCTTTTTTATTAATCCCTCTAATATAGTCAGTGTGTAGAAGACTGGTTATGTATTGGGCTAAAAGGTATCATCATATCATATCATCTGTGATATGATAAATCATGATATGTAAGTCTGTGAGACTCGAGGCTGTTTAAAGGTCAAATATAAAGTAATGCAGAGAGAATCCAAACAATTTCCGCTTGACCAAACACTTAGTGTGGGAGGCTGGGTTCACGACTCAGCATTTTGAGTTTATTTTGTGTTTTTGAGTTTATTTTGTATTTTTGGTGGCTACATTGTGAAGTTCTTGTGTTATTATTCTATTTAGTGTTTAGTTAAGTTTTGGTGTAGTTATGTTTCTTCTCTGTCTCCTTGTTTATGTGTCTTTTCTGTTTTCCGTGCAGTCTGTCATGTGTCTCATGTCTGCGTGTTCCATGTTGTCAAGCTCATGTTGTCTTGTCTACGTCCCTTTCTTGTTCCTGTTTTATTGTGAAGAGTCTGGTGTTCCATGTTTAGTACGTTTAGTCGTACTTCATCTCTGGCATTCAGGCTCATTTGTTCCCGGGTGTTTTCACTTCCCTCATTACCCTCCTGTGTATTTAAGTCCCCTGTATCCCTCTGGCTTCCTTGTGTCTTCATGCTCCTGCTCAAGTTCATGTTTGTGCTCTTGGTATGCCCCTGTTCAGATTTATGTTTATGTATTTGCCATAGTTTTCATGTTTAGCTCTAGGTTTTTCCAGTTTAGTTTAGCTTTTGGTCTTTGCCTTAGTTCACCATTGTCCATTTGATTTCTAGGTTTTACTACCAGCCTAAATAAACGGCTCACCTTTTGTTACCCTTTTGTTTTGTCTTATATACGTCCATACGTATGCTTTTGGATCTGCTCCTCAAACACATTGGCCCACCTGACTGTAACACTTGGTGAACACGGGGAGGAAAAACACCGATTTAATAGGAAGAAACCTCTGACAAAGTAAAACATGACAAAATAGCAATTTAAAAATCTAGTTGATTGTTTTGGCCTGAAACTAACATGACAAGAGAGGGTTGACAGCATTGCAATAGACAACAAATGTCCCAGGACAAAAAAGTGATTGTGCAGGGACAGTTTCCAGGCAAAATATTCTTATGCTGATAGGTTTATGTGATTAAAACAACAAAAGGGGAATTTAGAGACCCAAGAGGCATACCAGTGTTCTATAGGAAGCATCAGGTGACCTTGATGTGCTGGCCAAAGCAGGGATGGACCGAGTAAACCACCAAGTTTTCAGTATTTCGTTTAATATTGCTGTCATTGAGAAAGTAAATTGGAAAATCTGTTAATTTTATTACACTGCACTTAGGCATTCGTTTATCATGTGTGTGCATTGTGGAGCTGTGAGTGCTAATTTAGGGTAGCGTGCCCCACAGAGGGCACAGGAAGCATAAATGTTTTCATCACGCCAAATGGTTTTTATTTTAATTTTAAAAATGAAGGACCGTAAACAAGCTGCACGAGTGTTAGAGGCAAACCCGACACAGTGTGCCCAGAGTAATTATGATGTGTTAAAGACATTAAACAGTGTTGGAGAGGAGTACAGAGATTTCTGTAATCACTGCTTATTCATTCATTTAATTATTTTCACCCTTGAAGAGGGAAAACTGCAGAAACCTGGCTGTTATCACCAAGGGACTCATATCTGTGCTCACTGCTCACGAGGCGTGAGAAGCCCTAGAGTGTTTCTCACCGCTGACAGTACAGTAGCTGCACTGTTTGCCTTTAATTGATCCTCCTCAGGGACGACTTTGGCAAGAGCAGACTACCTGCTGGCTCACTCACCTCCGATTTCCACCTGATGAAAAGCTTGTAGCTATGACAACCTGCGTGTACCCGCGAGTGTGTGCTGTGATATTTCTGCAGTGAAGTGGACCGCATCTCGTTTGGGGGATAGAAAGATGAGAATGATGCGCTTCAGTGTTTGATTGATTTAGTGCTGCACCATTTGGGGTCAGGTGTTGAGTGGAAAGTTGTGGGTTAAAGATCGGATCTAGTTGGTGAAGTTCTTCACAAGAAATCTGACGTACTCTTGTGTTTGTGTGCCTACCTGCTGCCCCAGTTTTTGTGCCTCAGGTGTGCAGCAGCAACAATCATGTACAGCAGCCACATAACAGCTAACAAGTCTCGCGCTTAGCAGCACAGATCTTGACACAGCAGACAGAAACCACAGTGCTATAGTGGGTTAATTGGTTTTGTACTGTGCAGAGCATCTTCATTATCTGGTGAGAAATGGGTGCCACTTGGAATACATGCACTCTGACTTACTGTCTGTATTCCTCTGAATATTCTCACTCGTTTTATTTTTGCTTCCAAAAGTCATATACCATTGAAAGCAATTACCAGCTTAGATGTTTTTTTTCTTCAAGGCCACAAAAACAGACTTTATGTGATTTTGGTCCAAGCACTGTTGGAGCTGTTTCAAAACTGTCATTTTCTCCTTATATTCTGTTAGCAGGTGGATGGTGAGCTTCGAGCCATTATACTTCTAACAGTTCCATTTCCGGTGTATAATTTGTTGACTAGGTTGCTTAGTTTTGCATTAAAAAATCTTGTGTAAATGTCAGAGTTCATGATTCCCATGAATACATACATACCAACACCACTGCAAGAAAAGCAGCTGTAGATTTTGCTCTAATGGTGGCCTCAAGGGTGAAGGAGGGAGTCAGTCTGGTTGAAAACCTTCTCTAGACTCCACAAGAAAACTTTTAATGCCACATTCAAGCATATTAAATTTCCTTTACCTGTCCATTGTAGATTTAATTCACTATCAAGTTAGATGCTGAACTTTATTCATATTAGAAGGATGCATGTTTTCCTATACAATCAACTCTTTTTTTTCTTCCAAAGCATGTAGTTTCATTTTTTAAAAAGTGTTATTTTGTAACAGTTAAAGATGGAGCTGGTAGATTTTTGTTGGGAGTGGGTTAGGGTTAGGACAGGAATAGAAATGAGTTTATCAGAGCAAGAGCTCTGGTTGTGAACTTTGGAGACAACGTTAGTGAAGTGAAGCTGAGTTGGTCTGGACATGTGCAGAGGAGGGATAGTGGATGTAATGCATAGAGGATGTTGAATATGGACCTGCTAGGCACTGAGAAGGTTTATGGATGTATTCCTTTTCAACCTGTATGTTTTATAACCATACCTGGACTTGTAGCCAATGTTCCCTCTAAGCTGCGCACGTGCTTGCGCACTGCTGGCACAGTCTCTGCGCACAGAAAATCTGCGTTGTGCACACAAAAACAATCTAATCTGAATTGAAATTAAGATTAAAACTTTAATAATTCTGTTTTGCGGTGTTAGTCAGTAAGTGACTGGCTGCTCATTAAAAGTAAGGAAAACCCTCGAAAGCACTCTCCACTGTGAGAACAAACAAAACCAAAAAAACCCCAACCCTTTCCTATTGGTTGAAAAATGTGCCATGTCGACCAATCAAAAAATGAGATGTGAGGGATTTGTGACGTTTAGCGCAAATCTTGTGTAGTTAGTGTGTAGTGTAGTCAATAGTTTTGTTGTGCGTGTCAGAGCAATGAGGCGACTGCTGAATGTTATAGGTGTTACAGCAGTGATACATCTCCTGTTGTCAGGCCTGCAGGTTTCAGGCTGTTGTTCTCCTTTATCTCATAGTGGACAGAAATGATTTAATTTGTGTGGCATCAGACTTGATGCAGAACAGCTGATTGTTCTGTAAATAATTTGAAATGTTTGTTTAAAAAAAGTCTTGGCTGCATTTTTAAGTAAACAGCTGCAAAAAACTCAGTTACTTTTTTGAAGAAGTAACTATATAATTAATTGCCCAACATTGGTCATTATTTACTGTATTTTGCATTAAATAGAGCATTGACACGTGTAATACACGTCTTTTAACCATGTCATTTTACTCAACAAAGCTGCCCTAACTGACCTTAAGTACCATACTAACCTACACATTATTCATGAAACGGGTCTGAAGTAGCGCTGTATTTATATGCACTGTTGATAACATGTTTGTCATTTTGAATAAATCCACACTTCGCTTCACACAAAAGGTAGGGCTGTTAGATTTGTCTGTTTAGATGTTGTCCTTGGCAGGATTGATATTACTGTGATGCTTCTACTCTTTATGGATAAGTGAGGGGTTTTAAGTAAAAGCTGTTCACGAAATGCAACGCAAGCAGTGACTGTTTGTGTTACATTGGGTCTTTTAGGTCACCAGTGATGGCAGGTGGACTGTTTGCTGTGGATAGAAAATGGTTCTGGGAGCTGGGAGGATACGACACTGGTCTGGAGATCTGGGGAGGAGAGCAGTATGAGATCTCCTTTAAGGTAAATATGTATAGATAATATTATCCATTATATTATGTTTTTGATGTTAAATTGAGGATGTGAAGCCAGATTATATTCTTGCCTGTAACCTGTTTGTTAATGGTTCTGTATGGAGCCACTCTGCCATAGTTTTAGCCTTTCATGATTACATCAGTTCAAAAAAAAAAATTAAATAAAAGATTGCCTGCAAATTAAAGGTGTTCCCAGACAATGTTATAATCCTTTCATTGCCCTCCGGCAAATCTATAAAATACTAAACTTTTTTTTTTCCAAAAGGACCTAGGGAGTTGTTTTTGTTCTGGCTTTGGGGGTCAAGCTGAGAGTGTATTTCTAATGTTTCCTTTGAACTCTTTTAAACACGCTTCAGCCACATCTTAACAAGCTCAGACAGCACTGAAAACACTCGTAATGCCTATTTACTTTTATGTCTACTTTAGCGTCAACGCTGTTGACAGAGGGGGGTGGTGGAGGTGGTAGGAAGATGTCCACGGGAGTGTTCTTCTCCTCTCACCAAACATTTCTGTGATCAGATTCATAGTAGAAGAAGACAGAAACACAGAAAATCCCTTTGTGTTTCTCAGAACCAGATAGAACAAATAGTTGTGCACACATTTATAACATCAGTATGTTTCTCACACCAGCTCAGTGAATCACTACACCAGTCCAGCCATTATTATTGTTGTTGTTGTTGTTGTTGTTGTTGTTGTTGTTGTTGTTGTTGTTGTTATTATTATTATTATTGTTATTATTATTATTATTATTATTATTATTAAAGCTTAAAGTTTGCATTATTAGAAGTATGGTCACTAGGACCGATGAATTGGTGCAAAGCACAGACTGTGGCCTATAAAAGATGTGTCCTGTGTTTGGAGGCTTTCATTTAGCTGTGTATCACTGCCAACTTGGTTGTTTTGGAAACAGAAGTAAAGTGAGCTTATTTTCATGAGCAAAAATCTCTTGGAATAACTGAACATGAGGTATAGAAATTAACGTATTTGGCGATTAGACTCAATTAGACATGGCATAGCAGAACAAAATCCCAGCAGTTACAGGATTTACGATGGTGGTGGTGAAGATGAAGACTGAGGCTTGGGCGGAGCTCTGACTGAGGTGCTTGTGGAGATGGGTTGCATGAATGAGAGTTTGAAAGGGAGAAAGAAATGAACACACGCAGAGCTTGATTGGCTCAAGGGCAAGGAGATGATTGGACTAAAGTAATGATGACTGTGTTGAGATTGACGGCGTGGGAAAGTGGTAGTGATGTAATGAACAGAAAGCAGCTTAACACCCAGGAAAGCAGGCAGATGACTGATTAGGGAGCTTCCTTAGTGAATTTACACATAAGCTTCATTTAGTATCACAGTAAGTTCAGACCACGGTAAGTTGAGCCACTTGAGTGAAAGAGAACTACTTTCGGCTGCCCCTTTAGACACAAGGCATCACCACAGCGGGTAGCTTCTTTGATTTATCCCATCTTGATGCAACCCCAAAGGTATTTGTGTCTCCTCCTGGGATCAAAGCAGTTTTCTTTTCCTTGTTAATTGAATGTGTAAACCAATCACTGAACTGGACCTCTTGATTTTGTTCATGTTTTCATTCATATTTTTATCAATTTAATTATAAAAATATAACTAATAAAACATATAGTCTTTAGATACACTATATATTATGCTTTCGACTACATCTGCATCTGACTAAGCTTAGCACAAAAGTAAGGACATTTGTGTTTGGTTGATTAACGCCAGTCTAATTATCCTTAAATGGTACCTCATTTGGAAAATTGCATTTGTGGGTTGAGAAGCAGCTTTGAATATGTGGGTTGCACCCATGAAAAACTTCAAATCAAAGATTCTATTGACTCCTGTTGGGTGTCATTTACTGGATTGGATTATTGAACTCTTAAGAAACAAGACATACTGGCAATTTACAAATGTTTTCATTTATTTATTCACTCAGTAGCATCTGGAAGAAACATTCACAACCACAACAGCTTGGCACTTCATCCTCATGCTGGTCACAGATTGCTTTTGTCAGCATTTGTCACAAGTCCGCCAATGTTTTCGTGTGAGTTACAGATTAGAAGCACCGTTACTACAAAGAAATAATCAACCAAACACATATTTCCTTCCTTTTTGTGCTGTTTATATGCCCATAATTTTTAAAAATAACACTAAGACACTGTATAGTTTCTATGAAAGGTGAAAGCATCTACAGAATCCTCAACATTGTGTTTACCAGGCTGTAAACATGCTTTTTTTAATCTTGATTGAGTTGGGTGTAGTACCTTGGGAGTCTGAAATGGGGAGACTTACCTGCTTTTGGAGCCAGCTGTAAATGGCCATGTCAGACAATGATTCTTTTAGCGCTTCTGTGCTGGCTTTATCTTTCAACTTAAGGTTTACTGGTTAGAATTAGATTATAGCAATGTGCTCATTTGTCAAAATTTTTGGTTTCTGACTCCAAAAAACAATGATAAGAACAACCGTCTGGGGTCTAAATTTCAAGAAACCAATGGGTGAAGTCACTGTAGTGACTTCATAAAGTTGTGAATATAAGAGAAGGAATTTGGCCAATGCTTACCATAAATGACAACACTATACAAAATAAGAAGATGAAGAAGAGGAAAACTGATGTACGGATGTCTGGGTGGAAATAAAATTGGTTTCTGAATGACTGATTAATTCCAAAAACCAAGGTCACCTATACCTGGATACCCATGCGTCATGATGCAAAAGTATAATCCATTTTTAAAACTATAATATGATGGATTGTACTGCAGTTGAGTGTCTTTAGGTCTGAACAAAAGGTGAGGATTAGAAGCCGGGCATGTGAAACAAATGATAGGCCTAGACTAATGCCATCAATGGCCCAGGGCTGAGCCTGGTGAGAACAGCTTTTATGTTTTAATACAGTTTTCTGTCTAACTTAAGTAATCATTAAGATAATACCCTTTACCAAGGTTATTATTTTGGTCAAGATTATCACTATTAATTTTTCCTATTAGCGCATGCCTTGCTGTGCCTCTTAAGTCTACTTTATATGCTCAGATATTCAATTTGGTTTCCTTTTTATTAAGATCCCCATTAGCTGATATAGTGCAGACAGCCAGTCTCCTGAGGTGAGAAGATTAACAGGCTCTCATACTAATCCTTACAACCAAACTGCTGCTCCCACAGACAGCCGGGCCCTGCTTGCATGTGAAACACAATTACTTTACTCAGTGGTACAGTTAATCTAAAGCTCCATCCTGGTGACAGCGGTGTGGGAACACCAAGCATTTCCAGCTCACACACCAAGATAATGTCAGAACATAAAGGCCCAAAGAGCAGAAGCAATGTGACCTCACAGGGAGGGTGAGAGGGACAGTGCAGGCATAAAACCAACTGCGGAGTCTTTATATTGCTTCGGACGAGCTTCATTTATGCAAACATTTGGAGACAGAGCTGCTCTGGAGGCAGAAATAATTAAACCTCCATGGATGGAGCCAGAAAAAGGGTATTTGTTCAAAGAAAACATTTGCCAACTTCCAAATAGTTGGCAGGGTAAAACTTTTCTAAAAACATAAATTGAAAAAAAAAAGTTTTTAAAAGAATGTTATTTCATATTTATGGATTTAGCGCTGGATGGACATAGACAGCTACAGACTAACTTTTCTACCCTTGCCTGTGATAAAATCATCTTATTGAAAGAATAAAAAGTACACTGGCTTTCTGGTTCTTGTTTCCACGGCAACATCATCAAATAATATGTATTTGCTCATATTATGTTTGATGTGGATTTTTCCCCTTCCTGCTTATTATAGTTTTTTTTATATTGGTCTTTGGTCAATTAAATTTACTTGTGATTTCAGAAAATCACAATAAAAGTCAACTCAAGGGATGAGATCTATAATATAGACAGAAATATAACTCATCCCTTTGGGGAAACACGTAGTGATAGATAGAAATAAAATAATAAACAGGACAAAACTCAAACTTTGGAACAGAGAAAACGTACAGCTAATGGATGGAGAGTAAGAGAAAGGAAGGGATGGAGAAGTGCTCAGGATGCCCTGTAGCAATCTATAGTAGGCCTGCAAGGTAATAGTTCAGGTGACCCTGGTCCAGCCTCTAGTTGGTTGAAGAATAATGTCAAAAGCGGATGTTCTGTTTTGTCTGCTCACTGTGAGGTTTTCAGGATAAGATTGGGCAAATTTAACTTGATTCTGGTTTTGACAAGAAGCTTCTGTTGGGGAAATAGCTCTCTTTCTAGGTCTTCTTAAGACTCTTGCTGCAGTGTTTTGGATCAAGTGAAGGCATTTCAGAGTGCGTTTAGGGCAAGCAGATTACAGTTGTAACAAATGCTTGGACTAGTTTTTCAGCATTACCCTGAGACGGGATGCTCCCATTTTTATAACGCTGTGCAGGTTTAAAAAAAAAACAACTAAAAAACAAAGAAGCTGTGTGAGTGAAAGGACAAATCTCAGTCAAAGACGATTCTGAGGTTCCTCAGCATGCCAAGGTAATGCCATCTAGTGTAAATCTAGTCCAGGTGTCACGCCAGACTCATAAGGCATCTCATAAAAAATCCTGTTGAAAGACAACACTGACACACACACACACACACACACACACACACAAACAAAAAAACCACACAAGGTCAGTCCATTCAGATTGTTGTTCTAGTCCCAGAGGATTAAAATGCAATTGATGCTATTGTATACTGACTTTAGATTTAGTGCTGCGAGCATTTTGTTAGATCATTATTATTCATGCAGTGGAAGCAAAACACATGACCAGGCCACTGAAACACAGAAGAAAATCAAACTGTATGCATTCATGTTTTATTTATTCTTGGACACGAGTACAGACAGCTCAAGTTCTTGTTGCACTTTAAGTCAGTGCTGGATTTTTTTTCTTGCAGCAACATATTTTATTTATGCATTTGGAGTGAATTCAGTGGTTCTGTAGTTTCTTTTCTTGAACTGAGCTGTGAACACTCATGTGAGCAGAGAGACTCTAGCTGTACTAGAGTGACAGTGATAACAGCACAGGGTCATGAGAACTTCATGCCTGGACGATATATGAGTTTAATGTTACTTGGACCGTGAAACACATTTTCATGTGACGAGATTACACGCCTCATTAATGAAAGTCGAGCTGCTATAGAGGAACATTAACTGGCCTGATAGCGCTTTTTCTTTGTAGATTTCTAGATAGTCAGTGGTTTTGTCTTATTGTTTTAATGTCTGTAAGCTTAGTCTGCAAGTTTAATTAAAATTTGAGCTCCGAATGTGTTTAACCTCCTAGGACCTGGCGTTCACATATGTGGATATCACATTTTGGGTTATTTAGACCAAAACAATCAATTTTGCATTATGCTGCTACCGTTCTATCTAAATTTTATATGAATATCCTCATATGTGCCTCTCATTTTTCTTAGAAACAAAAATTAGGAAAAAAGAAAAATCTGGCAATTCTTTATTTTTACATTCATTGGGTCCCAATCAGCCCAAATATCAAAGAGAGATTAAAAATGCATGCCATGGAAGAGTTCGGTTCTTAGGAGGTTAAAGTTTGAACCTGACATAGAGAGCCAGAGTAGGTTTTATGTTTTGGCTTGAGCTTGACTGTTAATTCCTGCCCTTGGAAACGGCAGTTGGCAAAACAATTAAACATGTTAATGTTTAATGAACGTCTTCATAATGAAAAGCAAAATACAACTTTCAAGCCATGTGTGCCAAGGTTTATGTTAATTGCTTTCAGAACCTGAAATATTTACCTTTTGTTGCCAACCAGATTGTCAGTTTAATATTTTTAGACTGTCAGAATAATTCAAAGTATATCAATAATTCACTGGCACACATTAGTGTCTCATAAAGTTAAAACCCAACACAAATAGATTCATGTCTTTATGGCGGTTCCTACGGGATAGGTATTTCATCTACTTGTATTGCAAAAGCGATATTAAAAACTGCTAGAAGAAAAAAAAAGTGTTGCTATGCAGGTACTGCTAAAAATCTCATAGAGCAGCCCGTAGAAAATGATTCATCCATTGGAAACCAAAAATATTTTTAATGTATTTTAATCACTAAAAATCCTTGAATAATAATCAAACTTGTTTGAAGTTAAACACTAAACATTCCTTGAACATTTGGGATTCAATTACCGGCTTCTATTTTTCCTTGCCTCCTGTAAATTCACTTAAATTTTATTTGTTCGGCACCAAATCACAAGAACAGTTGCCTCAAGGTAGTTTTTTGCAAGGTAAAGACCGTACAGTAATTCAGCTGCAAACCTCAGAGTCAGACAATCCCCAATGAGCAAGCATGTGGCGACAGTGGGAAGGAAAAGCCCCCCTTTGGCAGGAAGAAATCACCAGCAGGCTCAGGGAGGGGCAGCCATCTGCTGTGACCAGTTGTGGGTGAGGGGATGTAGACAGGACAAAAAAAAAAAAACTCATAATCATAAAGTGAGAGTGAGGTCACTTCAAAATCCACATTTCGAAAAATGTTTTTCCTCACATAGTCTACAGTTTGTGTATGCTAGCTTATTGATTTTGGTTCTAGACCAGGCCATATGAAAAGCTGTGCAACAATAAAAACATCTGGCAGAATCTCAGATTTGCACATGGTGCTTTGATCCACCAGCAAAGGTAATTCTGTTTTTGCTCTGTTTTATTTTGATTTGCTTAAAAGTTTAGTTTTCACTTCCCCATATGTTGCTGGCTAGGTTTAAGAAAAGATCAGCTTTTTGTTTATTACATAAACACCTTAGCAGCATTAACATTAACTTTGAAAAAAGCCATTAAATCGTTCATTTAAATGTAACAGCAAGAGATTCTTTAGAAGCATCCATATGTGACATGTTGCTACTGAGACATGTCTGAGTAATACCATAACTCAGTGCCAAAGGACACTGTGCATATCTTTGAGATGCCTGTGGGTTTGATGAATTGACAGCACTTGATGACTTGGAAGGACAACTAGCTGATATTTCAGTCTTCAGCATTTGAGATGCAATCTGCTCTACGTTCCTCTATAGTTTCAATGTTATCATCTCTGCAGGGTGGGAGCCACTGAGCCACACATCTCAGGAAACTACAGAAAAAAATGATTTGTATCTACACATCTACAGTGGGGCAAAAAGTATTTATTCAGCCACCGATTGTGCAAGTTCCCCCACCTAAAATGATGACAGAGGTCAGTAATTTGCACCAGAGGTACACTTCAACTGTGAGAGACAGAATGTGAAAAAAAAATCCATGAATCCACATGGTAGGATTTGTAAAGAATTTATTCGTAAATCAGGGTGGAAAATAAGTATTTGGTCAATAACAAAAATACAACTCAATACTTTGTAACATAACCTTTGTTGGCAATAACAGAGGTCAAACGTTTACTATAGGTCTTTACCAGGTTTGCACACACAGTAGCTGGTATTTTGGCCCATTCCTCCATGCAGATCTTCTCGAGAGCAGTGATGTTTTGGGGCTGTCGCCGAGCAACACGGACTTTCAACTCCCGCCACAGATTTTCTATGGGGTTGAGGTCTGGAGACTGGCTAGGCCACTCCAGGACTTTCAAATGCTTCTTACGGAGCCACTCCTTTGTTGCCCGGGCGGTGTGTTTTGGATCATTGTCATGTTGGAAGACCCAGCCTCGTTTCATCTTCAAAGTTCTCACTGATGGAAGGAGGTTTTGGCTCAAAATCTCACGATACATGGCCCCATTCATTCTGTCCTTAACACGGATCAGTCGTCCTGTCCCCTTGGCAGAAAAACAGCCCCATAGCATGATGTTTCCACCCCCATGCTTCACAGTAGGTATGGTGTTCTTGGGATGAAACTCAGTATTCTTCTTCCTCCAAACACGACGAGTTGAGTTTATACCAAAAAGTTCTACTTTGTTTTGTTGTGAGCTGATGCCATTCTCCCAATCCTCTGCTGTATCATCCATGTGCTCTCTGGCAAACTTCAGACGGGCCTGGACATGCACTGGCTTCAGCAGCGGAACACGTCTGGCACTGCGGGATTTGATTCACTGTACATATGAACTGCTGTGTAGTAATAGGTTTACAGTTAGAGATCGGCTCAGTTCATTCAAAGGGTTTGCCGCGATCCTTCAACGATTTAAAAAACACAATCTAATGAAATGTATGTCTGTATAACTAGAAGTGATGTATAAAACATGTTCTTTTCCTTCGCTCATGTCTAAGTTGTCAAACTTTCCCCACGTTTAGCCTGTTTAGTCTCATATTAGCAGACTTTTTTGCAGGACCAGCAGCACCAAACCACTCTTTCTCTCTGCCTCTCTCTTTGGCTGTCTTCAAACTTGTGTTGATAGTATTTACTTATGTTTCAAATGAGCTTCTCATTTCTATTCATTTAGTTTTGCTAAAACAAAACCCATTTTCCATCCTGCCTGCTGTATTTAAGTCTTTCTTTTATTTCTCGCCCCTTTCATAGCCTCCCTTTCTTCTCATGGTCTGTTTTCCTCATTGAAAGCCAAGTAAGCAAATCATCACAGTTGCCTTTGTTATTGCTGGAGGATTAAAATGAAGACACACTGTTGAATGTCTCTGTTATGTCAGATAGACAGCTAAAAAGAAAAAGAAGCAATGATGCTTTGTTTTTGCTTCAGACAACACTTCAGACAAAGGTACTTAAAAGCTATTAAAAAAGTAGCAAAAATGTTGTTTTCCTATAAAACGGCAGAAGTTTTAGTAAATCAGTTGTGTTTTTTGAATACCAACAATATTCTAATAGTGTCGTAACATAAGCATTGTATCAGTGATTTGTCAGAAAGACTTTTTCTCATCTGGTCCTCCTTCTTAGGTGAAGTCAGGTCACCATCTTGGCATAATTTGTTTTTGTGCCCCCTGCCTCCTCTGCTCTGTCCTCTCATCTTTATTACATCTTCTCTCTCCTGTTGGTCTCCCAGGATTTATAAGCCTCTTCGAATCACTGTACCTTACTCCTCCTTCTGCTCAGCCATCAGTCTTCTGCTCATCTCTGTCGTCATCTCCTTCCTTCACCTTGCTTTACCTTTGTGCATCTCTTTGAATCTTAAAATGGACAAAGCTTCTAAACACCATAAAGATTCATCAGATGAAAGTGTTCTTTCCCTCTCTTTGTGTCTCTGAAGCTGTGGATGTGTGGTGGTCGGATGGAGGACATCCCTTGCTCCAGGGTAGGACACATCTATAGGAAGTATGTCCCCTACAAAGTGCCTGGTGGGATCAGCTTGGCAAAGGTAATTCTTCTCACTATGTGCAGTGGATCAGTGATGGATTTTCTGCATACTATAAAAGCAAAATACACAGGCTCTAACATTACTTCTGATACATTTAAGTCATAGAGCAACAATTTATTGTATTCTATAAACTAGTAGAGAACTAGTCAATGAGATAAAAAGCCTGATCAATTAAAGAAAATCCTTTTTTTCCATTCCAGGAGCTCCTTTTTTATTTTTTAAAAGACTAATAATTCTGATTTTACTGAATTACAGTAGTATATGGTAGTATAATGCTATAATATCCTAAGGAGTACTAGAAGGAGTATTCAATCTGGATTATGGTGCATCCCATCACATGCTTGCTCACACTCACCACCCCCTACCCTTTAAAAAAATTCTTATTGTTGCCAGTAAGATTTTTAATAAGGAATGAATGATTAACTGTCAACCAGCATGCTTCAAACAAGAGTAAACATTTAGGTAAACAGATTTTTGACAAACTAGTGTTTTGTTGTATTCACACTCAGGGTTTAAAAGCAATACAGAAACATGATTTTTGGATCTCTGCTAATTATGACGTTATATGGAAGATGGGATGTTTTTAGTAGATATGTGTATGTGTAAGTGTGTATTCATAAAAGTACAAACACACACACACACACACACACACACACACACACTGTAGCAACTTCTGTGCCTCTGAAGTCCGCTGAGCAGTGAAGCTGAATGCATCCCTGCCTTTTAAATGAACCTTTAGCTAATTAACCCCAATAAACAAGTAAACAGAAACATACATGCTATACATTTGCATGCACACACAGAGTGGTGCAGGGTTTGTATTTTCTGCATCCTCTGCTAAGTACACTACTCTTTCATCTCAGTGTACTTTACAGTCTGCTCAGCATTCACTCATAAAAGACCACCAGGCAAGAGGCAGAAATATGCAGGGTATCCATTATCTACAACTTATAGCCTTTCCAGGTGCTACTGTGAAGAATGAGCTTAAGTTCTTTTGTTATTTTTTTTTCAGCACCTACACAGAATAGGAAATTGTCTAAAAGTGCTTAATCATCTGAGGTGTAGCCAAACACCATTCATTATGTATGCCTCTGCTCTCAGCCTGAAACATGGCTCGGTATAGCTCAGTGTGTAGCTGAAAGTAACTGGCTTTGTTTTGTTTTTCTGAGGAACAGTCTCTAACTTAGCTTCATTGAAATGTTGATGTCCCTGAATCACCTGACCCTTTACATAAAAGCGGATAGTTCTTTTTTTCCCGTTTGTTGAGGTATCATTTCAATCAAAGCTGAATCAAAGAGAGCACTCTATAGGTCAGTTTCAATATATGTAGCTCAAATACAATGGTCAAAAATGACAGCAATAAAATGCCGTTGTCTTGGCAGATTCCTAGAGACAAATATACAGTAAAAAAAAACCCAGCACACTAGGTAAACATAGTTCACACCAGTCCATGGCAGCTCTCCATATAATTGGTCTCACTGTCAGGAACTAAAGGACCTATACTAGGGTACTTGTTTGCAGGTGGAAACACAGACAGCTTCAGAATCCATTGACACAACACATAGTTGATGCATTAAAGCAGTAGTTCCCAGCCTTTTCTGTGCCACGGACCGGTTTATGCCCGACAATATTTTCAAGGACCGGCCTTTAAGGTGTCGCGGATAAATACAACAAAATAAAACTAGTACCAAAAAAAAAAGAAGGTTTATTCATAACACACGTGAAAAGACGGTGGAAAACCGAGTTAACAATAAAAACGATAACAAAATAACGCTGAAAACCGATAAAAACCCTGAAAACCATACATTTCACACCTGAGCCTCAACTGTCGCGGCTTGGTACCAAACGACTCACGGACTGGTACCGGTCCGAGGCCCGGGGATTGGGGACAGCTGCATTAAAGTATAAAGCCACAACAAATTGAAGAGAATGGGAATGTTAAAGTTTGCATTACTCATAAGTGGACCCTTAAACCTTTTTTATGACTCCTATTATTGATAATGTGTTAGAGGTTCCTATTGTGTGAAATTTGAATTGTCTGCTAACAAAAAACTATTTTAAAGAATTAATCCAACCATGTGAAACTCCTTTTAACTTGATTTCAGAATCTAAAACGTGTAGCAGAAGTTTGGATGGACGAATACGCAGAGTATGTGTACCAGCGTCGACCTGAGTACCGGCACCTGTCTGCAGGTGACATGACAGCGCAGAAAGAGCTGAGGACCCGATTAAACTGTAAAAGCTTTAAGTGGTTTATGAATGAAGTGGCCTGGGATCTTCCCAAACACTATCCACCAGTAGAACCTCCTGCTGCTGCTTGGGGAGAGGTAAGAGCTGGATTAGTACATGAAACTGCTTTCATATATGTAGAGAAATTAAATAAATAGATGTATGCATAGAGATACAAACTAAAAAATAAATGAAAAAACACATCTGGAAAGGTTTTTGTGTGTACAATGAATATGGAATCGCTAAACTGAATACACGTCTGCAGTTACTGTAGATGTCATAATAAAAAATAATAAATACATTTTAAAACATCTGTGAATCCAACTTTGTTCCCATTGTGTTTTCATAATTCCAGAGACTATACAGGCATAGGTATGTTTCGTGTTTGATTTTTCATTTAGAATCCCGGACAAGCCCCCAATTGTAACCAGCTGGCTCAAGGAACATGACTCCACACAGTCACATCCAGCTGCACTTGGTCATACATGTTTAACATGCCTCTGACATCTGCTGCAAAATTCCCTATTTCTCCAATCCATTAACCCCCCTTTAAATAGCCGAGCATCCGCCTGTAGCCACAAAGGGAATATTTACTAATCACTCACCAATTTTTGTACGCAAACTATTTGCTGAAAGTAATTAGCTCAGAACCTGGATGCTAAATTGTATTCTGCTGCTATAAATAAATTCAAATAGATATATTATATAATACTGCGGTGTGTTGCTCAAATAAATCATTTAGTATCAGAAAACAGACAGTTAATGAGCATGTTTCAGTTGTGCTGCAGAGAATATTTTCGTGGCAAAAGCAAGATGAATAATTATATCAAATCAAGATGAAAATGATTACAAAATGTATGAAAATTAACTCTGCGTAATGAAAAGGTCAAAGTATTTTTCCAGCTTTCTTTTGAAAATATCGTCATCTTCTAGTTCCCTGTTTGTTGTCTGGGAATCATGTTTCATGCCTTAGGGCTCTTTTGCTAACTCATTTCATGGAAAGAAAAATTTGTGTATTCACAATATTCAGATTCTGCTCTCAATGTACCCAAACTGAAGCCACAGAAGTAAAGCTGTTGGAAATATGAACAACTCTAGTTACCCTATCCTATGATCAGCCAAAGCCAAAAATAATTTCTTTTAGGAACAGATTACCAAAGTTTGAAATTTTCAACAGACTTAACAAAAATCTATAATTTCACTGTAAAATTTCATCATGAATGTATTATGTGACTGTAACAAGTTCACGAAAAACTAGCTTAAGGCAGGAAAATCGTTTCTACTGGTTTCAACTTGTAATGTTTTGAGGGTTTTTTGATTTAAGAAAAATAGATTACTGATGAGAATTGTTAAAAAGGTATAAAGGATTGAGGTACGCGCTAAAGAATTCTCAGTGGTATAAAAAGACAAGAAACAGTGATGAAACACGTTTGCAATAACACACTATTTTTTAGTATTTTTAACAAGCTGCAATTCCTATCGGTGCCTAGTTACACTCCTGGAAGGCAAAAAATGCCTCCAAGCCTTTACATGTGAAGTGCACAAAAAAGAACTTAAGAAAAAAGATAAAACTGAAAATCAATCTGCTGACTACAGTCAGTGTATGGATTTACTTGTGTAGGACTAAGAGCGGAGATTATACTGTGTATTGTAATCTCAGCATGTTTATGGGTTTCTGGTTTATGTCAGTTTATCATAGTTGTATATGTGCTTTTCAGATACAGAATGTGGGCAGTGGAATGTGTATGGAGGTCAAACACTTTGTGTCAGGGAGCCCCATCCGCTTGGAGAACTGTGTGAAAGGCCGTGGTGAGGTGGGGTGGAGTCACGGACAGGTAAGGGCACCCTCTTAAATGAGATTATTGGGTTTTCAGTTCATATCCTAAAGCCTCTGAGATGATGTTCTAGCAACATGATGGGTTGTTAACAAGCTGTTTTTTTTTCAGGTAAATTATTTTCATTTGTTTTCTTACTTTAGTAGCATGTTAATGAAAGTGTGTTTTTACCAACAAGGTATATTAAGGAGGAAAAAAAAACTAAACAGACAGACAGAAAGTGGACCTTTTTAATGTCATGCTAATCTTTTTTTTTATTCAAACAGCAAATAAAAAAGAAAATTAACAGGTGGAGAAAAGACGTTGGTGTCAAATTATACTGCAAAAGAACGATCATTTGTCCCATTATTTAAATTGTTATATTTGAATTACATTTGGCCCTGTCATTTTTATCCTATAATTGTACAAAATTAAGTCTAATCACTTAATTGAGATACATTTTAATAGTACTATTGATTCAATTCAATTCAATTTTATTTATATAGCACCAAATCACAACAAAAGTCACCTCAAGGCACTTCATAGATACAGAGAAAAACCCAACAATCATATGACCCCCTATGAGCAAGCACTTTGCCGACAGTGGGAAGGAAAAACTCCCTTTTAACAGGAAGAAACCTCCGGCAGAACCAGGCTCAGGGAGGGGCGGGGCCATCTGCTGCGACCGGTTGGGGTGAGAGAAGGAAGACAGGATAAAGACATGCTGTGGAAGAGGATAATATCAGATATGATTCAATGCAGAGAGGTCTATTAACACATAGTGAGTGAGTGAGTGAGTGAGAATGAGTTACCTCATTCTAACTTTTGCAAAGTGATATGCTTCCCTGTGGAAAAACAGCTTGTTTTTTCAAAACTTCTAATTAGAATGTGGTGACCAAATGTGTGCAGTTATCACATCCATAACATTTTGCAGCTTGTATGGTCATAGGGTGCAGTCCATATGTTTTAGGATGGCAAAAGATTTTTCTTTTAATATCAAAAGTTCAATAAAAATAAAAACTGGATTTGATTCCAAATGTTGAACTTGGATTTGGTAACAGATCATAGGAAATGAATTCTTAATGGGTGAGACAGTAAAAACTTTAGTGACAAAAGGAAGTGATTCATATGTGTACTGTATATCTTAATTGATTAAGTGTACTGTGGTTTTGTACAGCATTACTACTAAAAAATGTATAATCATCCACAAACTTATGGACCTGAGTGTAAATGTAACCTCCAACTATTTGGGCTAGATCGATTGAACACTGATGTGGAGAAACTATTGTATAAATCAAATAAATCCAAAATGCTTATTTTATCGGCTTTACTATCTCTACACCATGTAACACTGCAACACTACCATAATAACCCCAATTTCAACAAGAAAATCAATCTGACAGAAAAAAAGGTAGAAATTTCACGTAGACAAAGGAAGGACAGTCAGATGTTGTTACAGCTCAGATGTGCTCCCTGCAGGTGTTAACATTTGGCTGGAGGGAGGATATCCGGGTGGGTGACCCCATACATACAAGGAAACTGTGCTTTGATGCCATCTCCCACAGCAGCCCAGTCACCCTGTATGACTGTCACGGCATGAAGGGAAACCAGCTTTGGCGGTACAGAAAGGTATGATGAACAGAAATAGAGAAATTCTAGAGTTCACTGCTTGTAGAAAATTAGTGTATTTACTAATTCATCCTATTCAATGCTCTCCAACTGTCCTGGCCTTAGGAAGGTTTTATATTTGTTAAAAAGTCACCAAAGTAAAAATAAAAAAATAAATAAAAATTGAAATGTCAAGTATTTCAGTGTGTGCCTGGTAAAAGGTCGATAGACACTTTAAATTTTGCAGGAGCAAAGTGTAACATCCTGCCGGTAGTAATGCGTACATATGCCATATAGAACACCAACAAGTTTGAGAAATAGGTTTAATCGTTGTGGAGTATAAGGCTTTAAAATGTGTATTAATCACAGAGTATTAGATTTTTCTCTTTGTATAAAGAAGGAAATAAATGTCCTGTGAAGAAGTTAGCTTCTTGTATAATATGTATATGTTTATCTTTCCTCCAGGATAAGAGTCTGTATCATCCCGTCAGTAACAGCTGTATTGATAGCAGTCCGAGTGAGCGGCGAGTCTTCATGAACACGTGTGACCCTGCCTCTCTCAGCCAGCTGTGGTTGTTTGAAAGAACCAACACCACTGTGCTGGAGCACTTCAACCAGGGCACCAACTGAGCTTACTGAACAGTGAGATGACACGTCTTCCAAAAAGAATGATCATGACTCAAAGGTCATCTTTGTTCAAGTGAGTCTTTCTGAGGGAAGAGATGTTTGATTTTGTTTTGAAATGGACAAATTACTTTGCTTTTTAATTTCTCACACTGTTACTGTAGTGGCCTGAAGACTCGTGAAATTATTGGTAGTACATTTTAGAGTATACTTTTATGTTAAAAGTGGTCCTTGCCTGGCTGATAAACATAAAACACCATACAAGGTTGTATGTGTTGCTTCCAGTAGTTATGTTTGCAGCCAGCATAACCGGTGTAAGGCAACAGGGTCAAGGCTCACTACAGAAGGAAAACATGCTCATAAATCATAAAGCCCTGGTCACACAGACCTTGCTGCACCTGGGCAACCGTCAGTCAGTAAGGAACCTGTGTGTTCCCCAACCAGTTTGCAAGTGGTTGCTGGCATTCACTAGGTGAAATTGGTTGCAAAAAGATACGGTGCTGTACCGAAAATCTCTTCGCTATAGCTTTGTTCTCTAGCATAATGCTGGTGTCTTATGTACTTTGCATGGAAGATGCTGATCTGCCTGCAAACATTTGCCAAAACTTCACAGTTAAACTGTAAAGTGTGCGAAGCAAACCCAAAATCATGGCCGTTCACACTAAAAGTAAAAATCGTGACTTTTTGACTTTGTGGCCTGCAGTGTGTTAATCCTATGATTGATTTTAAAGAAGTTTACTCCTTTAAAAAATATTTATATTTCATGTCGCCCAGTGTGATGAACATTTACTGATGCAACTTCAATAATATTTAACAACGGTGAAGAAACTAGACACGAAACCACCATTACGATTATCATTAATGTTTTGCTAGTTTGCTTTTTTTTTAACTTCCTTAAGGATTACCCAGTAAGCCTGTTAAATAGAGCTATAATGGTCTCAGAATTTATGGAACCTGTATATCTTCCCTTTGTTTCAGTGTTGTCAAGGTATGAATGAAAGCTACAAGTGAATAAGACACAGCTTTCCAGACATACCCTGTGGTACAGTGATCTAGTGCAGTCCCTGAGAGCTGAAGAGCTGGTGGGACCACAAGCAGTGACATCCAGAATCCAATCATGAAGCGCAAGCTTGTCGTGGGAAAGGAGATAAAAGAAGGAAATGCTTGCCTGAGCACCAGCACCCGAAACGCTCAGTGAGTGCAAAGACACAGTTCATTTTAAAATGCCTATTATAAAATATGTGATTTTGATAATATTTTGATTCTGTTTATCGTCAGGATGGGAGAACGATGGTGAGACCTGACTGCCTTGTGGAAACCCTGAAAATGTGGAGCTTTTAAAGATGGAAGACTTGGACCTCAAAAATGTATAAGAGGAAAAAACTTCATTTGACTGCGGTAAAAATACTGATACTGATGCCGATTATGCTGGATTTAATGGATGAGCTATCCAGTTTTTATTTCATTTATTTATATATTTTTGTCAATGCTATCTTTTTACTCACGGCACCAAGTTCTTTAAAGGCACAACTTGAGAAAATGAGGAGGGACAAAATCCTGCACAGTGTGTAGATTTACTAAAAATATACTTTTTTCAAAGGCACAAAGACTTTAAAGTGAACTTTTTTGTATAATGTTATAAACAAACTAAATATTACGTGAACATCATTTCAAAATGTATTTTGTGTTGTCTGGTAAATTACAGGTAAAAACTTCTTTTTTAAAATTATATTTTCATTAAATGTTCTGCTATGCTAAACTACTACTGAGGCAAGGTTAAGCAGTTTTCTCATGTGTACTGATTAACAGTTGTAAACCAACAGATATTTATGCCATTTACAGAAAACATAAGTGAGCACTTTGCTTGTTTGCATGTGTTGGCAATTCTCTAACAGCTAAAGGAATTCTCAGGGTACAGCCCTGTCTCCCAAAAGTTTCGTTATCATTTTATTGTTGATTTCTAAACAAAATGCAAGAAACCAGTGTGCACTCTTTTAATTCAATTCAATTCAATTTTATTTATATAGCGCCAAATCACAACAACAGTTGCCTCAAGGCGCTTTATATTGTAAGGTCGACCCTACAATAATACATACAGAGAAAAACCCAACAATCAAATGACCCCCTATGAGCAAGCACTTTGGTGACAGTGGGAAGGAAAAACTCCCTTTTAACAGGAAGAAACCTCCAGCAGAACCAGGCTCAGGGAGGGGCGGCCATTTTTTCATAAACACATCTACAGATCATTCGGTCAGAGAGGTCCAGAATTGGCAGCACAGTGGTTTACAGCATAAGATTTTGGGTTTGTACCTCTCCGCATGGAGTGTGCATGATGTCCACATTCTTGCATAGATTTTTTTTCCAGGAGCTCAAATCTGTTCAGATCTCTATCATCAAAAAATATGCTATTTTTAGTCGATAGTAATAACTATCTTCATCTAGGAAACTCTCGCAAACTGGATTCAAAATCTCGGGATTTCAGGACTCTGGTGCACAGCCTGGGATCCTCATGCAAGGACCTGCTGACTGTTTTCACCTCATGCTTGGAGACTAAAAGGGACTCTGCAGTTGTGGAATGACCAGCCAAACTGAAGCACGCTACATAGTTAGCTTTAAGAAATATTGTTAATTATTTTTTTAAATATTTTTTTCTTAAATACACAGTATTTTATTACTGACTTTGCACTTGTGTATCGCATGATTCTACTGTAAGTTTTATTACCCTCTGCTCTTTTTATAGTTTATCAGCGTGTTTTTATTGTGTATAAAGCTGTGAAATGGTTTTAATAACTGCTATACATAGTTAAGTTGTCTTTCTTACTAAACTATTTTTAAAACTTAAATTGGAGCAAAGGTTTCACTTTTGCATTGCTTTTTAAAAAATCTTTTGCTATTTCCACTAGTTTAATTTCACATAGTTCAGGTTGAAATAAATCATATCACAACAGTGGCTAAGTTAGAAGCTTCACTTCCATTTTCTCAACTATCATAGTGATGAGTTGTCTCCACCATCAGCTGCAGAAAAACATGACATTTTAGAGAAGAAAGAAATAAAAGACACATATGCTGATTACTAATTTACTTGCAAATGTGACACATGAGAAATTGCATGCAGAGATGAGAAAATTGTATAGTTGTATAAGAGTGTCATTTTTAGTAGACAAGCCTGCAGGCAGAATATGTGCGTCAATAAAATGCGTATCAGTCAGTGGTGCCAATAAATGGTATGCAAAACAGGCTGAACAAACAACAGAAATCCATTCATGTAACTGAATAAAAATACAATGAACAGAAGAAAAAAATCAACTCAAAACTAAGCACTGTGTTCAACCTGTTGGATAAATTCAAATATGTCCCAAAATAATATGCAAACATTGTTGCACAAACTATATGACTGAAAGGAACAATCATACCATTGATATACCCAATCTGTGTGAGAAACTAGTCATTTTTTAACAGAGAGAATATGTTCCCGGCTACTCTAGAGTAACAGGCAACCTATGGATAACCTATGATCAGGCAGATCCTTGACTCAGCACCTGTATATGTCTGAAAACATCTTATTGGAAATCTGATAAAACAGAGGTCACGCAAACTCATCATCTCTGCTCAGTCTGGGGATAAAACCTGCACAGCAAGCTAACAATTATCTGCAAAGGACAGCAGCTGCTGAGGCCCAAAGTTCATTCGGCACTTTCACTTTTTTATTGACAGAGTGAGTCATCAACCTGAGTGGCAAATCCAATACCTGAGTATGGTTCCCGAGAAATTATTGGCTGTCTAATGCCATCAAGGTCAGACAAACAGTGGAAGCCACTGCAGAAATACCCCTAACCTGGAGATTTTTGCATGCAGTGAGGGTAGAGTAATATTGATGAGATGAAAATGAAGCAGAAATGGGAGAGTAAGTTAGGATGAATTATTAAACTTCTAGCATTGGCATGTACTTATTCTATCTTATCATGGAGAAAAAACAAAACAGTTTTACTTCATGAATACAGTCATGAATACATATTTGTGCAGCTGCAGAATCATATAAACAGTACAAGTATGAACAAATTCTTAAATTTAGGCAAAAGAGTTGAAGACCCAGCATCCAATAAACATATCATGGTCATCATTAGACATATTAAAATGCACATTTTTACACCAATTTAGAGCACACACATACTGTAGAGTCCAGCAGATGAATTCAGCTGTGATTAATCAGGGAAGTTTTATTTATTTATTTTTTTTAAGTTCATTGAAGATTCTGTTGCTACAAAAACATGACAAACATGACAAACATCACATGTGAACCATGATTCATCCGTGAAGCGCACACCTCTCCAACGTGCCAGACGCCATCGAATGTGAGCATTTGCCCACACAAGTCTGTTACGGCGACGAGCTGGAGTCAGGTCAAGACCCCGATGAGGACGACGGGCATGCAGTTGAGCGTCCCTGAGACGGTTTCTGACAGTTTGTGCAGAAATTGTTTGGTTGTGCAAACCAATTGTTCCAGCAGCTGTCTGGGTGGCTGGTCTCAGACGATCTTGGAGGTGAACCTGCTGGATGTGGAGGTCCTGGGCTGGTGTGGTTACACGAGGTCTGCGGTTGTGAGGCCGGTTGGATGTGCTGCCATATTCTCTGAAACGCCTGTGGAGACGGCTTATGGTTGAGAAATGAACATTCAATGCACGGGCGACAGATCTGGTTGACATTCCTGCTGTCAGCATGCCAATTGCACGCTCCCTTAGTTTTTATACAGTCAATATCTAAAATGACTGAAAAGACAGGTGGGTGGCATTTTTCCTGATAGTTATGAATGGCTTCACAGAAGCCATGTTTTGCATTTTTTTTTATTAAAAAATATCAGATTTGTTAAAAGCATAAAAAAACTAAATACTGACCTTTGTTTATGAACTGAGACCTTGGAATAACCAGCACTCCATGCACCAATCTAAGTAAGCACCCAGGCATATAGGAGACTAACAAGTTCTTCATATAAATCAGAACATGGCTATTTAAAGCTTAGTAAGGTTTTAAGATTAATACAAAATGGAACAGGCAGCCACTATAAATTTGCTGATACTGGAGTAATATGTTGATATTTCTTAGTGCCAGTTAAAATCTATTTTGTTTTACAGAGGTAGTGCTATCATATCTTAGACCGAGTCAGAAGGGATATGTTTTTGAATTTGTCCTTTGTCTTTCTTTAATGATCAGTTAAATCTATATTGTTTTGCCATGTAATCAATCTTACCTTCACAAAATAGTGGACAAGCTCTTTGGTCTTTCTCATGTGAAAATAGCATTTGAAATACTTTCATTCCTTTTATTATCTTCAGAGGTGTTGTTCTGACTGAAATGTTGACATTACAAACTCTGCACAAATCTATAAATAATCACAAGCAAATGGCAGATAATCTTCAATATAGTAATCTTTCTTGTAAGTTTACAACCACTTATTCTGGAGCTATAATGCACTCTTTTGAACCAGTAGCAAATTCAGCTTCACATTCACCTCTATCATATTATAACCCTGCAATTGCTCTCACTGCTTTTTGGTGATGTGTGATATGAATAGTGCACAGCATGAAATGTAAAGATGCAAGCTAGAGACAAACCCTAAAACAAAAATGTGATGAAAGAATAGGACCATTTTTCTCCTTTAGAGTCGAGATATATCTTGTCAATCTTGATAATATATTTGCAGAACTAGGTCAGGAGCATTTATTTTGATGTGTATTAACCAGGGTAATAAATGTATTAATCACATGTAGGAGATAAAGCTTTTAGAGAGTCTTGAGTGAAACTTGCAATGATCCCTTACGAAAGTGCAGTTTTACTCTGTGGGGAAACACTTCCGTCTAGTGTGACTGCAATATCCCAAATCTCCTCCTTGCCTAAGATTTGCTCCGCGAGGGAGCTGTGGAAAGTGTGACAGACCAGTTCTGCTCATAGCTGAATAATTACAGCTAACTTGCTTCCCCACAGGGCTTTGCTGCTATTAATGGCCCCGCTGTCACACACAAATGGAAAGTCATGACTGTAGTGTCGCAGTGGCACCCTCAGGCCACCAGGGACCTGGTGGCGATGTTTTTGAGCCAAATCCTCCACAAGCTTGACTGTTTGGAATACAAAAAAGCACATATTAGTTTCATCCTTAAAGCTTTTTTAGGTGATGTGACACCGAATGAAAACAAACTGCTTGTTAATTGCATATTAAGAGAGGATCTATTTTCGTCCGGTTGTCACAAAGCCAAAACCAAGTTTATTTTATGTGCATGGTTGAATGAAAGCCAGAATGTGTCTCTCACATAATCATAGAAATGTCTTGCGTTGGTGGATTGCTGAACAATCAAAGGAACAGTCATTGGCAGAAACATTTAAAGTACGACTTTTGATATGATACAGTCAGAATTAGTGTTACACCTTCTTCATCATCATCACCTCTTCCGGGTAAAGCTTTTCTTTTTGTTCTTTTTTCCTCATCTGTCTGAAGCGCAGTCACGCAGTTAAATGCCTGTTGTTATATTTTCATAAACCCCTTCAGTCTGGGTGAGTAAACTGCTGACTGAAGCTGTAGAGTAACAGCTTTTTGACAG